TCATCAGAGTCATCCGCTCGGGGAGGGGAAGGGGTCCGAAGCACAACCCACAGTACAAAATTTTTCGCATGTTACATACAGTTACACATTTCCACCAGAGAGTCTCCAAATCCCCAAAATGTTATTGAAAGGTGGTTGATCAGTGGTCACCAGCCCTGGTCATGGAGATCAACCTTGATGCAGAGTATATGCATTTACCTACACTAATGCATCCAGTCCAGCCAATCAGACACTTCATTAGCTGGAGGAGGTTGTGGTTGGAATTAGACACTGCAGGATGGTAGTATATACACACAATAAATATATACATACACAATGAGTGTATGTATCACAAATATCATATATGCAGCCATGTGACTATATATATGTCATATATACAGTCAAAGAATGAATGTATACATACATACACACACACACATATATATATATATATATATATATATATTCAATAACTGTATATCATATATCTATATATATCTATATATCATGTGTGTGTGTGTGTGTGTGTGTGTGTGTGTGTAAATAATACTGTATAAACCAGGACCAGGGTTGGTGACCACTGACTCAACCATTTATTTACACAGAAATTTAAAAAAAACTGGTAATTTCCTTTTAACTGTATCATACAGCACACTGTCTCATTATATCTCCATTAATCTCTCACCTGTACCTCAAATATTCATTGGAATGGGTGATTATTAAATTTGTACTTGTGTAACCATGGTTATTACGGTTGCCAAACCTGATAGACACAGAATACGAAAAATATCATATCTGACCACCCAAATGTAGTTAAATAAAGCCACTGAGACAGAAATAGATAATTAAAAAAAATAATTTTAATCACATGTTGAAGCTTTCAATGCTGAAATAACATATACACTGAATATGATTCCCACATTATCATCCTTATTCTACGAGGCTGCTAAAGCCCAGTTTAACCACTAAGGACAAATATGGTCATTCACCTTCAATCAGATCTTAGTGTGAACAGTCCCCCTGTTTTTGCAGCCAGTTTTTTTGGGCGTTGGCCTGCCTGCATGTACTTGTAATCTTGCTCAAAATGGAAATTCCACTTGTGAGCACAAAAGGAGGTGAAATGAAGGTTTTCTTCTGCCGTTAGTCTTTATGAACTTCCATGGGAAAATCCCACTGCAGATCCCCCAGGCTGGCGAAAAGCCCTCACTCAGAACAGAAAGTGATGCTTACGCAATACTGGAAAGCAACGCTTACTGTAAAAAGAAACAACCACATGACCCTGACTTACAACAGCTGCAGTCATGATGAAGCTGCACTTGTAAAAGGCAAATCCCCTCCAACAGATTATGAAAATCACTAATGCATGACACATATTCGTCCTTGGATGAATGAAACAATCACATGAATTCAACAATCACATGAATTGAAGTGCTACATAATTTACAATACTGACAACAAATAAATAGAACGCTTGGCTATAAATGATTACATTGACGTGGCAAAACTTATCCCATTATTCACTTTTAAAGTGCAACAAAAAGAAACAAAACTCCTGCATTAGCAGAGTCAGTGTCCCTCTTAAAGACATGAGCACAGTAATACAGCGGTAAACCCTACATACACTTAAAATGTTACTTGGTTAACTGTTTAGGCTCACAGTAAAGAATGATGACTGATATGGAAATGAATCACAATGTCAATTTTGAGCTAAAAACGCTAATAACCAGTAATATCAGACAATTTTAGGTAATGCTTTCTTTCCCTTAAGTTCCCCATATTAACACTGAGTTAGTAGTGGGCGGTATGGCCATGTTGTCTGATATATATATCACGATGTACACATTTTTTTAAAGAATGTATTAATAGAAAATAGAAATAGTAGCTTATTATAGGTAGATATATGAGGCTTATTATTCTGGGACGTCCCTTCACTTTTTAAAAAGAACCATTTTTAACAGCCAAAGTATATCTGATATATTTCTATCATGCAAAATACTAAAAAAACTAACCGAATAATACACTGATAAACCTGTACAGATTGCTTTCTAACACTAAAAACAGTGCTAAATGTTTCAAGGCTTTTCGCTACAATTTTCTGTTCCACCTTAAATGCAGCAGTTACATTCTGGCGTCTGTACATGTAAGTGAATGTAACTGCTGCACCATTTAGGTTGAATGGGAAATTCAGATAAGAAGCCACTTTCAGTTTTGCCCGATTTCTAAAGTCATTTGTCTCATACCTGCATGTCGTAACTTTCCCCCTCTAACTGTCAGACACTTCTGAAATTTGGAAAATATTAGTCATTCACGCTTCAGTACTGTGTCAAGCAGCTTCTCAGGTATGAGAGGAATCAGCAATTGGTCTGGTGTCCATGTCAGTCGAAGGCTAACCACAATAAACCAGAAATTGGAAAGCAAAAAGTGGAAGTCTTTAAAAATGTGACTCCCTGACTCTCAGCTAAATGGGTTAACAGTGACATGGTTTGCACTATTTCTATGTGGCATTAACTACCCTAATTTGAAGCAAACCAGCATAACGGTTAAGAAAAGACTGATTCCCTAGGAAGAATGTAACCGGTATACTGGATAAACCGGTCTACTGCCCACTACTACACTGAGTTCCCAGACAGATTGAAATCTAAGTCTAACTACACCACACAGGGCCTAGACAAGGGGTCGGTAACATGTGGCTCCACAGCAGAATTAGATTCGTAGGTAAAAATAAAATAATCCTCCTTTGCAGTAAAATAAAGCTCTGCTGATCGTTCAACACAGTTTAACAATAAATTGTCTGACCGCTGGAGTTAATGTAGCTTATAATTGCTAATTCACCCTTGAAAGTTGGCTTACAGACTGCTGGTCACCATAGCAACACTGACAACAATCTTGCCTAGCTAGTATCTAACGAAAAGGCAAAGAGAAAGATGTAAGGCGAATATTGATAATCTGGAGACGAATGGACTTATTTGCATTTATAATCACTCCAGCTGGTTTCCTGATACGTTTAATCTGCAACGAGAAACGGAGAAACAATAAAAAGTCGCAAAGTTGAAGTCAGTATCTCATTCAAATTGTCCGGTTCTACTTTAAATGTTGCAGCAGCTAGCTTCTGGTGGTAGCCTAAGGTGGAACGGGAACATTTGAAGAAGAAGCTGCTGAATGAAAATCTGACTTCATCCTCGTAAAAAATTGAATGTTGAGAGACAATTTACAAGAAACTGTTCCACTTTTATTAAAAAAGTTTCCTGCTGGAGATGCGAGAAAAGCAGCTATAGCTGAGCTAAAGCTTAAAGCAGAGCAAAGTAAGTCTAGTAAGTAGTTTAGTTTATATTATATTTTTTAGCCTCAACTAGGACATCAGCACATACTGAGACATATTTACAGCCAAGATGGTAAAATGGGCATAAAATGTTGTGGCTCACAAGTTAGTTTGATTTTTGTTGAAAGGAAAAAATGGCTCTTCTTGCCATTTGGGTTGCGACCCCTGGCCCAGCCATTAAGCTAATAAAGGACAGTTAAATAACTCATAACTGGACCATTATTTGGAGTAAACATGTAGTTAGTACAAACATAATCTCACTAAAATTCACTGTAAGTGGGAAGCAGGTAGATTTATGAGGTAAAATGGTGATACTAAAACAAACTATACACCTGCCAATAACCTAGAAACACAACTGAATCCGGGCTGTAAAAGAAGCAATGACTCTTACTTCTCTGATTCACTTTCCTGCTTAACGTGACATTACAATGAAATTTAGTGTATGTTTATACTGTACTGTGCAACAGTCAGGGACCACCCTTCATGTATTATATTTCCAGTCAAAATGGCTCATGAAGTTATTCATTTTTCAGGAGATATTTCTGAAGAGATTAGCTACAAGCTAATCCACTTGCATAAGGAAGGAGGTCAAAGAAAAATAAGTGAAAAAACAGGAGATTCCCAAACTGGAGAGAAAATCTATAGAGAAAATGATACTCCTAAGAACCACCTGGAAGACCTGGTAGACACCAAAACTGCCCCCATTAGATAACCAGCACTTAAAGCTTTCATCTTTGAGCGACAGGAGAAAATCAAACTCTTGCTTCAAATCAAGCTCTTGCTGGTGATCTCAGAAGAATGGACTGACCATCCTAGAGTCCAGACCTCAACATCACTGGAAATATTTGGGATAGGATACATGGATTGTGAGAAAGAGAAAGTGCAACCAACTCGTAAGACTGAACTTTGGAGGTGTGGAAAAATATCCCTGCAGATTTCAGAGTCTCCTGTCCTATATATGTACTTAATGGAACTCTAATGCAACGTCATTCATTCATTACTCCTGACCAATCACGATCTTTAAAATGACTCGACTTACGTACTTTTTCTGCTGCTTTCAAGTGCCTACATTTTGACGTTCCCCTCCTTCCTCCCCACCACCACCAGTTGGGTCCCTGTCTGGTTGTCCGGGGTAGTCTCCGCCCCTGCCGTCTCTATCCAGCAGGATCAGTGAGGGTATAATGCCTGGACTGAGGATGGGACCTATGCCAAAGACTCTTTGATTTGTACTGAATTGTTATCTTTCAACTTGTAAAACTCCACTGAGGATATAAAAAATTGTCCTCCTTCATTTGTGCCCCCTGAGTCTTTCTGGCAGAAATAAAATAAATGCAGAATGGGCTCTGACCTTTGCACCATTCTGTATTTACCACCTTTTTATTTTGGAGTTTTTACCACACATTTTCACGGTCCATATCTAGAACTTGACTGTAAAACAAAGTGTTGCCTAAGTTGTGAAAATAAACAGACTTCAAACCTTGATCTGCCTACTGATAGTCATGGTTTTCTCGCTTGTTGAGAAACGGCCACTCTCCAGCAATGGTGTTATTGGCAACACTACACTACTAACTCACTTTAAGTAACAAGAACCATGCAGCCTTGCCTAAATTCCCATTTTTGCAATAAGGAAAAACTTGCTCCCTTTAGAGCCCAACAGTATGTTTGTTCAAAGTAGCATCACATTCTAAATGTGTATATATTGTGTCTTATAAAACATTTAAAGCAACAATATTGATGCATGTTACGCAGGACTTCTGCCGACACTGATAACTCTTGGGAACTTGGATATCAGCCGATTTTATCGGCCAAATGATATATCCGTCAGGCATTTGTTCAAGGTTCAGTTGAAGAGTCAAATCCCTGAACACCTTCAGTTGGTACTCTGGTCGTTTCTGAGTATCTGCTCTGTTTTCTGGCTTTCCGTCGTCTGTCCTTGGTTCAGTGAACCTTTCTCCTCGGGTGATGCAGGGGTTCTTTCGTCCACTTGCTCCAACTCCCACAATGAAACGTCCCTGCTGTCCAGTGACCAACCATCACACCTCAGGACGGTTAAAACCCAGCGTCTGAATTTCCTGGATAGGCTGAAGTAGATGAAAGGGTTGAGGCAGCAGTGGAGGAAGCCTAGAACTGCGGTGATGTTCACTGCTGTCCACTTGCTGTGCCTGCACCCTTCGGACTGCTCTGTAGAGTCAATGGGCGCAGCCTGAATGGTGTCCACCAATAGGGTGATATTGTAGGGCATCCAACAGATGAAGAACACCACCACCAAGGCCAGGATGATCCGCATAGCCCGCAGCTTCTGCAGGCCCTGACAGCCTTTCTGCAGCCGCAGTAGGATGCAGGAGTAGCAGTAGAACAGCACCACGGATGGAAGTAAGAAGCCCACCACGTGGTAGAGCAGTCTGAAGGCTAAACGCCACCTATCATGGTACGAATGGACGCACTGAGTTTTACCCCCTAAACTGGCGCTGCTATTGGCCTTCAGGTAGAGCCAGTCAGGGATGGAGATCAGCACGGAGAAGAACCAGATGGCTATGCAGATGAGCCAGATCACCAAGGGCTTCCTGGAAGATAACATCTTGATGCCATGGACGATGGACAGATAGCGGTCCAGGCTAATGCAGGCTAGCAGGAAAATCCCACAGTAGAAGTTGATCTGTGGAAAAGACAAGAGAAAGAGAAAGAGTCTTAACTAAGATTTGGACAGGATTTTCCAGAGAGTAGTTCCAGAGAGTTTCCAGGTAGTTGGGAGAGTAATGTTCTGCTTCTGGTCACTGTGGGCTAAAATATGGAAACCCACACATATAAACACAATAACACAGACAAACTGTAAACATTAAAACTAGTAATTTAGGGGTTACTTCAGCTGCCCTCTCCTCAGATGGTACAGCCCCGATTTTCTGTAACTGGTCAGTCTCATGGAATGGGTAAAGATTTGCCTGCTCAACTTCGGAGCAGCGGCATGATTTAGGGCTGGTCATTAAAGATATGGTTTGGCAAAAGATGCCCCCCCTTTCGAATTTAGTTGCATCGAATCCCACCCACTAGTTAGGACTCCCCCAATCACACAATACCACCAGCGCTAAGAGGGCGAAGGCTAGCACAGGCTTCCTCGGAACAGGACTAGCATTGTGAGTGACGGGGGAGATGGATGGCCATCGTACCCGCCCAGAGAGCAAGGCCATTTGTGCTCTCTTGGACTCCCTGCCAAGGATGGCTGTAGCTTCACCAGGGATCGAGCTTGTGATCTCCTGATTATAGGGCCAATGCTTAGACGGTTGCGCCACTCGGGAGCCCGGCAAAGGGTCCATTTTTTTTTTTCAATTTTCTTCTTACCCCACATGCAGTAGATCAAGTGCCCTAATTTTGCTTCTTTAGTTTTAAACTGCAAGCTAATGTCGCTAACAAACACTAAGTCAATAGTCACCCAAATCTTTTTTCTGCAAAAACATCCTCAAATTTTCTCTCAACCCACTTAAACCGCATGCAGCTCTTTATTAAGTATGGTGAGACTCGCTGAAGTGGTTTAGCACACAGAATGACTTACTGTGAGCTATAAAAATGAACAAAACTCCACTGTGTAGCTGAACGCTGCGCACACCGGCATATGGATGCTAGACCACGTTCAGAATGGCTCGTTTCTATTTATAAACAGATATCTTTTAGGTTATTTATAATGTAGCTGCCTGCTGTGTTCAGCTATGCAGTGAAGTTTCGTCTGTATTTATAGTTCAAAGTAAGTAATACTGTGTCCCAAACCACAGCAACAGGTCTGTGTGACCTTAATAAAGACCTGGATGTGGTTGATTGGGCTGAGAGATGTTTTGTGGTTGTATTTACTGATAAGATTTGGGTGACTACTGACTGTAAGTTAGCAACATTAGCCTCGTAACTCCAGATTAAAACTGGACGCAAAATATGGACACCAAAGTGAAAAATTGTGCAAATTTAACTTTTGTCCAAGCCATTGCTTCTAAAACATTGTGTATAACTTTTGCTGACATGTCACTATTCCCTTAACACTGGTCATGTTTTCTAAAACTGAAAGTGTAGACCAGGGGTCGGCAACATGCGGCTCTTTTACTGCCCTGTTGTGGCTCCACAGCAGAATTAGATTTGTAGGTAATAAAATAATCCTCCTTTACAGTAAAATAAAGCTCTGCTGATCGTTCAACACAGTTTAACAATAAATGGTCTTAAACACTGGAGTTAATGTAGAACTGCTTATTTTAACCCTTTAACACTGAAGGTCGACGCAGACTGCTGGTCACCATAGCAATGACAACCATCTTGCCTAGCTAGTAGCTAACAAAACAGCAAAGAGAAAGATTTAAGATGAGCATCGATAATTTGGAGACGAATAGGCTTTTATAAGCACTCAGCTGGTTTTCTTGTATGTTTAATCTGTCAAAAACTGTCAAACACTAAAAAGTCGCGAGAAGTCAGTTTCTTGTTCGTCAGCCTCTTGGTTGAATTTTCCCTTTCCACCTTAAATGGTGCAGCAGTTACATTCTGGCACTTCAGGTACTATTTAAGGTGGAACGGGAAAATACAAAGAAGAAGCTGGCGATTGAGAGGCGACTTCAGCCTCATATCGAAAGCTGAGAGACATTTTACAGGAAACTGTTCTACTTTTAAGGAAAAGTATCCTGCCGGAGATGCGAGAAAGGCGGCTATAGCTGAGCTAAAGCTTAAAGTAGAGTCTTTTTGTTTTTGTTTACATTCTTCGCCTATATTAGTACATCAGCACATACTGAGACATATCTACAGCCAAGATGGTAAAATGGGCATAACATGTTGTGGCTCCCAAGGTGGTTTGATTTTTGTTGAAAGGATAAAATGGCTTTTGTTGAAAGGCCATTTTGGCTCTTCTTAACATTTGGGTTGCTGACCCCTGGTGTAGACAATGACCCTCAAACATAATGAATTCCCCTCCTACCTGAAACAGCGCTCCGCTCAGCTTGCAAGCCCCCGTGTTGAAGATCCACTCGTTCGCAGCCTCTACCGCCCATAGGGGCATGGTTAGCAGCAACAGGGCATCAGCCACGCTCAAGTGAAGGACAAAGATATCCATCACAGTCCGCTTCTTCTGAAACAGGACCAGCAGGACCAGCCCATGACCGAGCAGCCCAAGGAACACCACCAAGGAGTACAGGACGGGGATGAAAGTGGCCATGAAGCCACCACTGGGCGGGATGCACTCATCTTTATACTCATAATCTTCATAGGAAAACGTCACGTTGTGCTCAAACATGCCACCCAGGTCCACCTCCATATTTCACTGGAAGAAAAGCAGATTGTTATCTAGTGCGCGACGTTTACTCTGTATGTCATTTTCAGTCAGTAGACCCAAGGATTTCTCCAAGTTCTCAACATTTCTGGATAATTCAGTGGTTCAGATATAAACAAAGCCATTCAGAGTGGTTTGATGTGAAATGGTTCACTGTAGAGAAACATCCTGACTTTTTTGCAGTGGTGCTGATAGGAACCAGTGGTCACCATGGGGTCACCATGTCTACAACACAAACATGTCCATTTTATTTGCTATCCAAAACCACCAATAAACCTACACAAGCTTTAAATGGAATGTTGATGGTGGTAAAATAGTAGTAACCCCCTCCCTTCCCAAAAATAATAAAGAAATAAACAATCGGGGACTATTTTGCCTCACAACACCCTGCATGTACCCCTCCACTATGAATGGATTAAAAATAAAATGTTTTAGCCCCAAACTGTCTGTCAGGCATCAGGCAGTGAATTCATAACCATTTCATGTAATAACTTCCTGTGTGGGAGCTTTTAGAGGTGGACATCTGGTTCCTGTCACCACCACTGTGAACAATTCTGACTCAGCAAGTTTCTCTAGAACAGAGCGTTTCACACCAAACCACTCTGAATGACTCTGTTTACTAACCATTCAATTACACCGAAATTTTGAAAAATAAGTGGAATTTACCTTTAAGTACAGTACAAAACAACAAGAAGTAAAAACGACCAAGCAAGAAAACAACTCAGGTGAAAAAAAAAAACCCTGTGGTCCAAAAACTCCTGGAGAGAAACAGAACTGCAGTGGAGCTGCTTAGTACAACCAGCTTCTATCAGCATAAGCACTGAAGCACAGCTCTTCTAGTTTTGGCCTAAAATAAAACGCTGAGCTGAAGGAACGCATTCAAGGAGCTGAACCAACAGAACAGGATGACTTAAACCACCAAAAAAAAGAACTAAGTGTGAATGACTGAAAGGGAACTGAGATAAAATAAGCTTTCATAGAAGTAAAAGTCATCTGGAAACCCTCAGGAAAACACAAATCAATTCAAATTCAATCAAAAGTCAATGTAACTGAGAAAATATCATTACTTACTACAGGCTGTGTTGAGCTGAATGTTACAAGAGTTGACAGAGAAGATCGAGAGAGTATTTAAACCGTAAAAGTCACATGGCTGGTTTTCACACATTGAGGCAACAAGTATGAAGGAGAGTTTCCGCTCCGTGAGGCCAAGCAGCTGACCTCATATGATAAAACCATGAGATCCACCCACACACCTTCAGCACACATCACCAGGCAGCACAGTAAACTCGTAAACGCTGGACATGAGCCAAGACTCATCTGACTTCATACTGATGTACACACGATTGTCCTTTCAACACTGAGCGCACAGAGTCCAAAGCAAAACAACCAGCCACCTTCGTCACAATAGCAGAGGAAGACTTGTCTGACAGCTTCTATTGTTGTTTGTTGTTGTTGTTTTTCAGGTTCCAAGCACGGAGCGCGAGAAAAAGTATTGTTTCATTTGTCTTTGTTCAAAGTTGTTTCACTTATACAGCTTATTATTATTATTCAGCTACTGATCTGAAGACTTAGTAATAATAATTATCGGATCACTACAAATCCAATTCCATAAAGTTTGGACAGTAGAAAAGTGTAAATAAAAACAGACAGCAATGATCTGCAAATCTTTTTTGACCTGTATTCAGTTAAAACCAGTACAAAAACAAGATGTCGCTGCTGTCGGAACAAAACCTCGTATCTCCAAAATGGTAACTTTACAGGAGAAGGAAAAAACATACTGTACTTCTAATGTAAGTCAATGGAACCAGACATTTTTCCAAGCAAATTTTGGTCGTTTCTTTTGGTCCATTCATCATGAAATTTACAAAGAATATAAAGGGGACAAGGCAGTTTCAAATGTTGTCAAAAACTGAAAAATGACAAAATTGTTGAATTACAAGTAATTACTTGTTTGTGTTTATATGCTTATCCTAAATTTGATGCCTGCAACATGTTACAAAAAGTTTGGACAAAAAAGGGGCGTGTTTACCCCTGTGTTACATCACATTTCTTTTTAACAGCATTCAGTGATCATTTGGGAATTGAGGACACAAATATCTGTAGTTATGAAAGTGGATTTTTTCCCAGTCACAGCAGCTGACCAGTCCGGCTCTTTTTCTCTACTTTTGGCCTAAAACAAAATGCTGAGCAAAAATAAAGCTGAACCAAGAGAACAGACTGAATTAAACCACCAAAAAAGGAGGTGAATGTGAATGACTGAAGTGGAGCTGAGATAAAATAAGCTTTGTTATTGTATATAGTGACAATCTAGTACCTGCAGTCTCTCACTAAGAAGCCACACTGTTTAAACACATGCAGAATGTGGCTTGACATTGTCTGAAACAAGCAGGGACGTCCCTGAAAAAGACGTTGTCTAGAAGGCAGCATGTGCTGCTTCAAAATGCTTATATATCCTTCAGCACTAAAGTAACAGGGAGCAAAGGGAAATATTACTCATACAGGACTAACATCATTATCCAGCTTTTATGTGACAATCACTGGACAAAAAAGTCAAGGACAAACAGACGTGCAGACGGACGAAAGAACAAATGGACAGACGAATTGACGCTCGAAGGAACAGATGAACAGACGGATGAAGCAATGCAAGAATGAAGGAGTAGATGACGGAACAATGTCTGTGTATGAATAATCGAACAAACTGTTTTGTCTGGGCGGGTCAAGAGAGGTCAGTGTTTACAGAAGCGTTACCCAAGATTAGGATCGCCCAGTTTACATCGAGAGGAGAAAAATATGGTGCAATATGGTATCGGTCAGTTATTGTTCACTGGAACATTATTCAAACGATATAACTAGTACATGTTTACTGTTTGCCTGGAAGAACAAGATTAACCCCTTAAAATTCCAGGCTTGTTACTCACTAACGCTTATTATTCAGTAACTACAGGGACTTAAATGCAAACTGGCTGAGCTGTTCTTATGCCGCACCATGACAGGCATTGGATTTTCAACTTTACACTGGTAACAATCAGGGTGGTTCTTTTCTTATTTGACCCAGAGAACACAACGTCCGTTATTCTTAGGCACGGCACTAAAAATGTCCGCTGTCCTTTACATATAGATGATATAAATCATAAATCTTTTCCAACTTTCATAAGAACCTGTGAACCTCAGTGGTCATCAACTCTGTTCCTGGGTCCAGCCCTAATGAACCCCACCTGAACCACCCATGTAAATCTTCAGAACTAGGCAGTGAAGGTAAGAAGACACCAACTGTGACCTCTTTCAGTCAGAAGATTTGTTTATCAGTTACAGTAGCTTCACTGCCCATGAGTATGGGAAGTTACTACAGCCTGTGGTCACCTACAGCTGCAAGAGCCACTACAACACTGCAGTGGCAGCATGACAGCCACCTTCCTGGCACATCATCACCACCGGTTAGTTAGCAATGCAGCACATGTAGTTTTAAAGAGCAAAAGTGCTGCAGAGTTGAAGTCCGCACTGGAGTTTGAGTTGTTGTGACATATTTTCATTTGGTTTGGTTGATTTCACACTGCAATTGATAAATGATACACCAAATAAATAATAAGACAGCGAGCATCGATGCCGTCAGAATAAAACCTCGTATCTCATACATGATTTAAAATATCTGTTGCTCTTTACATTGTGTGCAAATTTCATGAAATAGACCAAAATGACTTGGAAAAAATTCTGGTTCCATTGACTTACATTAAAAGTAAAGTATGTTTTTTCCTTCTCCTGTAAAGTTACCATTTTGGAGATACGAGCTTTTCGTCCGGCAGCAGCGATATATCGGTCCACTGGCTTGATAAGGCTGCCACCCCGCTGACAGTTTGTCACTGTTGGTCCACCCTTGGACCACCTAGATTACTGTCCTGCATACAAACTCTAACTAGTGTTAAATCTCCTCAAACAGATTTTGAATGCACAGGGACTTTTATTTTTATAAAATAAAGTAAGATAAATATCACAAACAACTGAGAGAGAAAAAAATAATGACTTGCTCTATTATATAAAAAATGATTTCATAGAAAACTAAACTAAACTAATTTAAAGAACGAATGGAAGAAGGAAAAATAAGCAAATTGGACTGTGAGTGGAAAATGAACGATGATAAATGGAAGTTTGTCTATTACTCTGCTTAAACACTGGTGGGCCGCCCAGAGAATGCTGAGCAAAACGCCAGTGGACCACCAGCTTTGCCATCCGTGGGCCAACAGGGGCCCGCTATCCTCTTGCTATCAGGGACACGTGGTTACGGCTGGGCAATATGACAATATATATCTTTATCGTGATAAATTATGTCACGATATGCTTTTCTGAATATATCGTGTATATAATCTGTGCTTGTACACTCTTTAAAGAGCTGGGTCTTCAAGGGTAAACAAAATGGTTCTATATAGAACCATAAACACTCAACTACAGCACATTCTCCATCAATTTGAAGAACCCTCTCACCATGCGAAGAACATTTTAGTCATGTACAGGGTTCTTTGAATGTATATGGTTCTATATAGAACCATTTTCATTACTAAAGAACCCTTGGCGAACCTCCTTTTTTAAGAGTGTAGCACAAAACCCAGGTCTATCACTCACTTACATACTTTACAAAATGTACTCATTGAGTTGCACCAAAATGCGCTTGATGTCTAAAAGATGGTTCTTGAAAGGTTCTTTAGTAAAGGCAATGGTTCTATTTAGAACCATGCGTTCTACATAGAACCATTTCATGCTTAAATGGCTCTTTGCATGGTGAAATGCCTCTTCAGATTAATGGGGAATGCGTTGTATATGGTTCTATATAGAACCTTTTGGAAATGGCTCTATATAGCACCAAATAGGGTTCTTTTACTGTCACAAGCTTGATGTTATGACCCTTTTTGCTGCTATAAAGAATCATATACAACAGATTCTCCATTAGTCTGAAGAGCCATTTCACTGTGCAAAGAACCTAAGCATGCACATTCATGGTTCTGCCCCCTTAGTAAAGAACCCTTAAGAACCATCTTTTTTAAGTGTATAGATGAAGACACACTGAAGCAAAGCTTACAGCTGCTGAACTGACAGTGAAAGAGGCAGGACAGAGATAGAGAGAGATTAAAGTGATAGTTTGGCCGAAAATCTCGTTAATAATTCACAGTTATCCCCGTATTATGATCGTAGTCGATCAGGTGAGACATGTTTGGTGAAGTCTGGTTCTTTAGTTTTGCTCTGACTAATGCAGCGAGTCAGTAAGCCCGCACTGTATTTCTGTCCGTGTTTATATATAGACAGCAGTGTGTCAAACAGGACGGTCTGAGACACACTCTGCACACACTCCGCACACACTCTGCACAAAGCCATATGGTGGGTGTAGCCTAACATTACAAAACCAGCCTCGCAGCTCGAGAGCAAAACTACAGAACTGACCTCAGACCCCAAACACTTCTTAACCGACTGTGTGTGCAGTAAGAGAGGAAACTGTACAGGTGTGACTTTAAAGCTCTGCAGGAAAAGCAACAGGTCTCAAAGGAAGAGACTTACCGCCACAGCCCCACTTCTCTCTCTCTGTCTCTCTCTCTCTCTCTCTCTCTCTCTCTCTCTCTGTGTTTCTCCCTCACGTTCTCGCGCTGTGAGGGGCTGGAGGAAGTGTGCTCGCGAGCGCAGCAGAATGGAAGGAAGTCAGGAGGAACTTGAGCTCCGCACCGCCTGAGAACTCTCGCGCTTCTGCAGTGGCGCCTCTCTGCCGAGCTGTGCTTGTTTATCTCTCTCTCTCTCTCTCTCTCTCTCTCTGTGTGTGTGTTCCTCCCTCACTCCGTCCCTCCTCATATCTCTCCTGTTTCACTTTCTCTCTTTCTTTCTCTCCCTCCGCCCTCCCTCCTCATAGCTCTCTCTCTCTCTCTCTCTCTCTCTCTCTCTCCCCCCCTCCCTCCCCCTCTGCCCTCTCATATCTATCCTCTCGCTCTCTCTCTCTCTCTCTCTCTCTCTCTCTCAAGTTCAAGTTTGCTTTATTGACATGACACATTTACTTTTGTATTGTCAACAAAAATTATCTATATTTCAAAAGTTAATAATCAAAAAACAAAACAAAACAAAAAAACAAAAACAAAATACAAAACCAAGATTAACGTATGACAATGCAACAATTAAGAAGAGAAAGTGTTAATTATCAATTAATAATATAAAAGTGTATGTAATAATAAAACAAATCCTATTGAATGTGTGTATGTAGTTTATAACAGGAAAGAGAGGGAAAAACATTAATTATCAAATATATTTATGTGAGTAAGAAGAGAAAAAAGAGAATGAAAAAAGGACTATATTACAGATATACATATATAACAGTGAGTAAAGGCTGTGGTGTGGTCACTCGCTGTCCCGGAGTGTATGGAACCCGTACACATATCTGGCTAGAGTGGACGCTGAAGGACCCTCTTCTAATAAAATTACTGATTTATCTTTATCTCCCAACGTCCTGAAGTTCTTTATCTGTTTTTCAAATCGGTTAAAATATTTATTTCTGATAGACTCATATTTTGGGCAGTTTAGTAGGAAGTGCACCTCTGTCTCTACCTCACCTGTCCTGCAGTGACCACACACTCTCTCCTCTCTCGCTAGCCAGGACTTCTTAAACCTGCCTCTCTCGATGGCCAGGCTGTGGTCACTGAGTCTGTGTTTGGTGAGGATCCGTCTCTGCTTCATATCTTGGA